AAAAAAAAAAATGTTACAAGAAAAATTAATATGCTAATTGCATTTCAAGTATCTTCTGATCCTGTGGAAGATGTGATTAGCTTCATTCGATCCTATGAAGAAGCCTATGGTAACAGTCATCCTGTTTTTTATCAGGGTTCTTATAGCCAAGCTCTTTCTGATGCAAAACAAGAATTAAGATTTTTATTGGTATATTTACATAAAGATGAAGCTCAAAATATTGATCAATGGTGCAGGTAATTTCATTAATTATGCTGCAGTTGCTGAAAATTTTGTAGGAAGATAAATAACAAATTAAATCTTTATGTGCAGAAATACATTAGGTAATCTACAAATTATTCAATATATAAATATACACACCTTATTTTGGGCATGTAATGTGCAATCAGGTGAAGGTTACAAGGTAGCAGAAGCTCTTAAATCTGGTTCTTACCCTTTTCTGGCTGTTATCGTTTTAAAAGATAATAAAATGACAGTAGTTGGCAGGTACATAAAATAATATATGTATATATATAATTTTAATTTTTCTTATGTAATTCTTAAAATAATAAATATAATAGTATCAAAAGGTGTGTTTATCTTACAGGATGGAAGGTACACCATCACCTTCTGAATTAATATTTCGCTTACAAACAATTATAGATCACAACGAAATTAATTTAATACAAGCCCGCCAAGAAAGGTAGAAAAAATACAGATATCTCTATGTTAATAATTTTAACTTTATTTAGATGAAATATTCTTTAAATTATTTTATTATAGGGCAGAACGTAGTGCTGCGCAATCTTTGCGGCAACAACAAGATCAGGCATATGAGGAATCACTACGTGCGGATCAAGAAAAAGATCGGAGGAGAGAAGAAGAACGACGAGCACGCGAGGAACAAGAGGCCAGAGAAAAAGAACAATTAAATGCACAAGAAATGGAAATTCAACGCATTCGTCGCGAGAAAGAACTTACTGTTTGTAAAGTGCCTCTCGAACCAGAGCCTACTAATCCTAATGCATGTCATCTTCAAATTAAGCTTGGTGAAAGGACAATGAAAAGACGTTTTCTAATGTCCGATACGTTAGAAGTGCGTTATCTATTTCTTTTTTTTCCTGTTGTTTAATTTCAATATTATAACAAATTATTTTCTTTTCCAGGATGTATATCATTGGATATTTAGTCAGCCGGATTCTCCAGTGAGTTTTGAAATAACGACCAGTTTTCCGAAGAGAATTTTATATCCATGTAGAGAAATTTTTACATTATTAGACGCTGGATTAACACACAGAGAAGTTCTCCATGTTAATGATTTAGATGATTAACCTCTATTGATATTTCAATACTGCATTCTTTGTGTTTAAGTATCATTCCATGGGAAAAATGATACTGTCGTAAGAGACATTTATCAAAAAAG